TTTAAAGTATAATCTACACAATTAGCCTATTTATTTTATAAAATTATATTCTCATTTCCGCACATGTAATGTATTCCATGTTTTTACTCAATATGTTTGTTACACGATGTTGTTGTGCAAAATTGCAATTTTTTAATTAGAATACAAAAGAAAAAACACCATCTTCATTACCATAAAAGTCAGATTTCTTAAATTTAATTGAACATTATCATTGCGTTAAAAATTTTTATTAAGTAAATTTTCTTTAATACTCGTAATAATTATTCACTAAAAAAAATCATAAAAACAAGGATTAAATTCTATACAAAAATGTTTTTGAGTATGTTACAAGTCTCCATTTTAATTGAGCATGTTATACTTAAAAATAATTTACAAATTGTATTTTTTTAAAAGTTAGCCTGTTTCAAACTGTTATACAGCAAGAATTATAAAAACCATAATAGATCAAGTGTTTTATAAAAATATATCAAGTATAACAAATTTTGATTTTCAAGTTTTCCCTTTTCCTAAGACATTTAAACATTTTGTTATTAGAATTTAGAACTGACAGTCTATATATGAGTTATATGAGGATGTTTTTGAAAATGCATTTTTTAAGGTTAGAACTAACTCCCTAAATTAACGTTAAGCTATATATTGTTATACATTTTTATAGCATTCAATTTAAGATCGTAGAACACTTAAAATGTATAGAGTATCACACTTTGAAGTGTTATACATATAACGTATTCCCAGAAAAGAAATGCATCAGAACTAAAAGAAACTATCCAATTTTTAAAATATTTCCTTAATAAATTTAAGGAAATATTTTAAGGAAATATTTAATAAACTATTGTTAGTTTGAGAAATTGTGGCATTTCATATATGAAATTTGAGATCTTCTGAACAATATACTTCTATATATACATATATATATACTTATATACTTATTTATTTTGTAAAATTACTTGTACATACATGCTCCTGTACAAATATACTTATACTCGTAGTTACACATATTTTATAAAAAAAAAGAAATTTTCGTGTTATGTGCTTGTTATCTTTATTATCAAAGCACGTGCTACCTTAATTATATAAATGTAAATTGTTATGGATAGTTAACATAATACATTTATATTTGGATATATGTATATATATATGTATACAATTATTATCATGTCTACATAAAAAATCAAGTAGATATTTATCATTCATTACTTATGATATATATGTATACATACACACAAGAATATTATGGTAATTTTATTTAATAGGATATCAAATAACAGAATATTTTCATCTCTTTTAAACTATTTGAAATTTACTTTTTTTTGTTAAATGTCACTGTTCAACACAAATACATAAGATTGGCTAGAACTATTGAACTTTTACCAAAAGCAATCAACTAAATTCTCTAATTTGAAGATATGATCCCTTTACTATAATGTGGTGGTTAATTTATATTGAATGATCAAAAGCTTAACAGATTTTTATTCAACAAGTTCATAATTGAGTTCCGGCCAAATTTACTCTAATTTTCGGGCATACATACGTATAAGTTCTTTCTAATTGTTACAATAAGTTATAAAACCTAATATAGTATCGAAATATAACAAAATTAATATATTCTTATTAATTCTTCCCATTGATAGGATTGCCGTTTATCTGGTTTCTTTTTGGAAAAGCTGTCCTCTTTTTTATTTCACAGTTCACTTGTCATGACGTCAATGGTTACTTTCGACGAAAATTAAGAAAACTTTTCTGAAAATCAAACTATTTCCCAAAAAACAAATTAATTATTAAAAAAAAATATTTTATTTATTTATAAATTATATGTGAATTAAGGATAAAATTGAGTGAAATCATTGATAAATCACTCGAAACAAACATTTACCTTGCGTTCATGATAGAGAGTGAAGAGATGATGAAGTAGTATTGCTCTTTTATGAGTTAAATTTTGGTAATACAAATAAATTTTCTCTAGAAATTAATAAAAATTTCACTCAAACTATTTTTCCAATAATTTTAGTCTCTACGGTTTTTTATTTCTAAAAACTTGGAAAGTATAAACAGTTTTTTGTTTAATTTCTCTAGTTCGAGGTAGAATTATTAAAATATTTCTATACACACAGAAAAACTTACAATGTTTTACAGTTGTCAATATCTATATAAATTTTGGCTTTTGTAGCGATTAGGTATAGTTTCATTTGATCCACTTCATACTTCGTAACGTCATAGCCTATGGTATGACAAGAAATTTTTTTTCTATCACTTTTGACCAAAGTGTTCTTGAAAAATACGATAAGAACGTTTAAAGTTAAAAATTTTAAAGACCTATACCCCTTTATCAAATGAAACTAACAAGATGATCTTTCTAAACTTTAATTTGATCTTCGATTGATCTGGATAACTTCTTTGCTTGAAGAAATATAAGCTTTTAAACATTTTTACCTTTAAACGTGTTTATCGTACTCTAAGGACATTTATTATACAAAATTGATCGCCATTTTCCATAACCATACCCAAAAATATTGAATTAAATCTTAAAAATTAATTAATTAATTTACAAAGCGTGTATTTAATTTTGTTATAATCAATTAGTCATATACTCCTTGCATAATTATATATGTAGACAATATTATAAATTTGATATAAAAAATGTGACCGATGTCATAATGATTCATAAATGTTGTATAATTAGTACCTTACCTATATATGTAAGAGTAATATATGCTACACAAACAAACAGACTCTTTTTTACAATGTTGCCACACTCATTTTAAAAATGGTTATCAGTTACATTATAAAAATTATAATATGAAAAATAAAATTTTTAATTTATATCCGTTCAATTAATTGAGATCAAAGATAAATTTTATAGGATTGTATGATTCTTAATTAAGAAAAAAGTCTGAGTTACAAAAACTTCAAATTTTTTATTATAAAAATTTTATTTAAATTACCAAGAATTTAATTTTTTCTTTCTGCTTAATTTAAATTAACAAAATACTGAAAATGATTTCATTTCATTTAATTATTTTTTTTCTCTAATTGATTAAGAAGTTATTTGAGATTTTAAAATTAATTTTTTATTTTTTTAAATTTTGTAAAAATTTATTCTAATTAATAAACCATTTGAAAAAAAAAAGATGATGCGACAGGGAAATGACGCGATTAAAATACCTACTGATTACAACCAATAAATTAAATGAGTACTTTTATTAATTTAAAAAAAAATGTAATCAAAACTTAATTAATTTATGATATCGTAAAAATTTAAATATGATAGCACACTATATTCTAGAACACAATACAAACTATGACATAATTTAAAAGTAGTCATTAAATATTCGATTACAATTTTCCTGCGCAGGTATACCAAACTCTTAGTCACTTTTAATACGTCATCAAATTTAATAATCATTTATTGATTAACACTAAACTTTATCATTCTTAAATGCCGTGCTAATCAATAGGAACACAAAATGATTAATGTATGTAATTTGAATATGAATAAAATTTTTTTATGTTATTGGAGGTTTTAATGTAATTTAATGCTATTACGTCAGTAAAAAATACATAATATTGAAATTGAAATCGGATATTGTCGTCTTGAATAGTTTAGAAAAAAAAAGCAAATGTCTAATCAACATCCGCTAGTGTTTTACCTGCTGAATATTTAAAATTTCGCATATTATATGTTATGGCTTTGTTTGAATAATAAGAAATCCTAATTGGAATGACGAAATTAATACAAAATAATAATATTAAAATCAGATAAAGAGCTATGGTGAACACAATTACATTGTTAAGAAGGTACTGTTAGATGTGAGAATAAAAAAACAAAATTTTTTGAATAAAAAACCAAAAATTTTGATCAAAAACAAATATTTCTTTGTAAAATAAAATAGTGTTTTTTTTTTCTGGATATTTTATAATGAAATATCCCAAAAAATGCCATACTTAATTTAGTTTTTAGACCCAAACTATAGTCGCTCTCAAAAAACAGACAAACTTCCCTCTCAAAACACAATTACATTATTTTTCTTATGCAATTTACTTTCAAAGCCGAATGATTTCATCGAAGATATTCTACAAATAAAAGTATGTCAAATGTTGATGCTAAAAATCAAATCAATTAAAGGAGCTAAATTTTGAGTCTTTCTGCTATTAAGCCTCAAATCGTAATCGTGTATTATAATACTTAATTGTATAAAAAATCAGATTCCGAAAATATTCTCATTGTATTTCAAAATTTCTAAAATAAAATAATTATTTTTGTTTTGTTCATATACAATCTTTCATATGGGAATTTTAAAATTTAAAGACTCCTTGTCTGGAAAATCCTACAACATAATTGGAATCCTTTAATTTTAAATAAGTATACCTTAAAAGCTGAAATAATAAAAAATTTCAAAATTATTCTCGATAAAATTTACAACACATTTACAGCAATTTCCGATAGAAAATTTAAAATTTTTTATGAGATTTCCAAAAAAAATGGCAAATATACAAAAACAAAATCTAATAAATTATCAAAATACCAAAATTAAAATAAAAAATAAATTTTTTTTTTCTAAAAGGACATTATAAAAACCACTTCAAAAATTTTAAACTATTAGAAATGAGAAACACTAAATTGCAGAAATTTATAAAAGTGGCAACAAAAACAAAAATAAATCTTAAATTAGGCACATGTGTAAAACAAGTGTTCCAAGGAAAACCCATTAAAATCATCATCAATATCATTATCATCACAATCATTTGCCAACTGAATGCTATATAAATATATTCTCTACTTTAAATCGATAAAAGCATTAAAAAAACTAATGAACTAATTTTCTAATTTTGAAATGTGCTGGAGAACCGCTGCAAAATAGAGGAATGAAAAATATTAAACCTTGTATGAATAATTGTAATTTTTTTACTATCCTTGCCTCTGTATTTCAGATATATTTTGCTTTTTTTGTATACAACCATTAATATCCTTAAATTAATAGATTTTCTTCTTCTTTTTCCAGGTACAGTAATGGAAACATTTTAAATTCTAGCCAATGTAGTTCATTAGTTATACCATCGAATTTATCAAATAGTAATTTTAGTAATAATAGTAGTAATAATAATTCATTAAGTTTATCCTCAACATCAACATCTATTGGTTTAACACCAACATCTTATTCCCAGCATCAACAACAATCTTCAGCTGGTAGTAGTCTTTCACATCTTAACTCTAATAATCAAAAATTGTTACATTCGCCATCAGATACTAGTTTATTAACAACATCAACAGGTCAACAACATCAGCAGCAGCAACAACAACAGCAAATAGGACAGAGTTTGCAGAGAACACCGTCATCAGGTAATAATTAAAGCAAAAATAAAAAAAATTTAAATTATTTCTCTTATTAATATCTGATTTCTTTCTTAAAAAAATAAATGAAAACAGGATCAATTTCCCGAAATATTAATAACTCACTAGCAGTTAGAACATCATCATCATCTGTTCATCAACATTCTGAACTTGGTATGTCACATTGGCTTACCGGTAGTGATTCATCGAATGTAATTGCAACAGCTGTAAAATCTGAAAATCGTAGTCCAGATTTAGATTCATCAGCAATTAGTGGTATTTCACAGCATATAAGTAATTTATCACCAAATTCATCAGCTGGTTTATTAGCTGCAGCATCATCAAGTAATCATCATCATCATCATCATTTACATTCACATTTAGACACATCATTGTATTGCACAAATCCAAATACAACATCAGGATTAGGTATTGATAATACTGGATCACCTGTAACATCATCTTCATTAGCTGCAGCAGCAGCAGTAGCCGCAGCAGCTGGTATCGGTGTTGGTGGAGTTCAATCATCATCAGCAGTTGTAAATACAGGAAATAATGTTAGTAGTAGTTTAAGTGGTTCATTAACTGGCAATAGTAGTGGTATTGGTGTTGGTAGCAGTGGATTAAATTCACCAACATCAACATTACATCAAAGTGCAAATTTAACGGCTAGTGCTTATGATCATAAACAAGATTATTATAGTTATTATAATAGTATGCAACAATACACACCATCATTTTATCCATCATATGGCTCACCGTATTCAACGCGGACAACATCTAAAATTCCATCACCAAACGCCTATTTATCATCTAGTTATTCAGCGGCAGCTGCTGCTGTTGCTAATAATAACAATTCCTCGCAATTATACTCAACATATGGTTATAATAATTTTGGACAATTTGGAACTGGCCAACAAGCCGATTATACAGGATATTATAATGATCAATATAGTAATTATTATGGTTCACCTAATTATTCACCATATGTAGCATCGCCAGGTTCGGCTGTAGCATTGGGAGCAGCTGCTGGTACACATGGTTTTCATGTTACATCCGGAACTTTAACAGGATCATCTCTTGGATTATCAGAGAGTCCATCAGATCATAGTGGTGGAACAGTTGGAACAACAAATTCAACAACACCAATTTTACATCATAGTCATTCACCAAATTCACCATTACAAATTTCACCAAATGCAATCAGCGGTACTAATGTTTTGGGTAATCCATTATTGGCTGCGAGTAAAACGACACCAACTGGTAAAAATGGTAGAGCTCGCGGTAGAAGACATGCTCATCCAAGTCCCACAAGAAGTAATACATCAGAAAGTGGTAATAATGTTGTAGGTTTAACAGATACAATTAAACCACCAGAACGTGTATTTATATGGGATTTAGATGAAACCATAATTATATTTCACACATTATTATCTGGGTCCCACGCAAGACTTTATAATAAAGAACCAAGTCATACGCTACAAATAGCTTTCCGTATGGAAGAATTAATATTTAATTTGGCTGATACGCATTTCTTTTTCAATGAAATCGAAGACTGTGATCAAGTTCATATCGATGATGTGTCATCGGATGACAATGGACAAGATTTAACAAATTACAATTTTGCAACAGATGGTTTTCATTCCGGAACACCACAAGGTGCCCCACCAAGTTTATGTTTACCTACTGGTGTAAGAGGTGGAGTTGATTGGATGAGAAAATTGGCATTTCGTTATAGAAAAATTAAAGAAACATTTAACATGTATAAAAATAAGTAAGTTAGCCATTTTAAAAGCAGATCAATTTTTAGCATTAGATTTATGCATTTTTTTGAAAATTTACATATATTCCGGTTTTTATATCTGATTTTTAATATTTCAAATTATTAATTTTATTTTACAGTGTTGGAGGATTATTAGGGCAACCAAAACGTGATCAATGGCTTCAAGTTAGAGCAGAAATGGAAAATGTTACCGATAATTGGGCAACATTAGCAACAAAATGTTTAAATATGATTGCACAACGTGAAAATTGTGTCAATGTTTTAGTAACAACAACGCAATTAGCACCAGCTTTAGCAAAAGTTTTATTATTCGGACTTGGACAAATATTTGCAATAGAAAATATTTATAGTGCACATAAAACTGGTAAGATTCTTTTTCTTTTTTTTCTAAATTTTAGAATCTGGGAAAAAAAATTCAATAATAAATTTTTAAAGCTCTAAAATTTTCTTACTCCTTTTATGTTTTCAACAGGTCAAGAATCATGTTTCGAAAGAATAGTGACAAGATTTGGTCGTAAAAGTACGTATGTTGTTATCGGTGATGGACAAGAAGAAGAGGCTGCTGCAAAATCATTAAATTTTCCATTTTGGCGAATATCAAGTCATAGTGATATTAGAAATCTCTATACAGCCTTGGATATGGGATTTTTATGAAAACTTTATTTTTTCATTTAAGCAATAGAAATCTGCAAAAAAAAAGAGAAAAAGCAAAAAAAAATTTCATAATTTATATAAACTTCCAAATTAAATTTATTATTTTTTAAGCCAAGCTTTCGATAGAAACAAATGTACGTGAACACGGAAAATCTATAATAGATACATACATAACGTATTTGTATTTATTTACATATACATACATACATACAAATTTTGTAAATGAATGTCTTTAAACCGGGCCAAAGGCGACTCTTTTTCTAGGTTCATTTTCAACTTTTTTAAATTCAGAAACTCTATTAAAAAAAGTAATAAATCCTACTGTTTATCATCACGTTCGTAAAATAAAGTCTATTTGAAATTATAACAATTATAACAATAAAAAAATGTACGCCCCTGTAAATAGCAATCTAAAACACTATTTAAAAATATACCGAAACTTCCATTAAACCATTTTTATTTGTCAGGGTCCATCTATAATACAGAATTTAAAGGAATCTAAAAGATCTTTCTGTAGAAAGCTTATTATGAGACAGTGCTTATGATAAAGGATTTTAAAAATTAAATTTGTATTTCAATTTATGGAGTATATATACAAATATGTCGAAGGAAAAGTTGTGAAAAAAAGACAGATGCAACACGAGCTGGGCAAAACTCCTATTTAATAATACATTTTAGTTACACCTGTCTAATATTAAAGTAATACTTAAAAAGAAAAGCTCTTAACTCTTAGGATCCTATCGTCATTGTGTTTATCATTCACATTTTTGTGAACCTTCATTCATTTTTTGTGCCAATTGCGCCAATTTTTAATTGATCTTTCAAAAATAGTCGCCATTGTGCATTGTAATTTTATATGTGAAAATAAATTTAGTAAAAAGAATAACATACAGCTATACTGTCTATAACTCACTTGTTTTCTTTGGTGAGGGGTAGTTTTTGTATATCACTTTCTTTCATTTTTCATTTTATTTACTGTTTTGTAACAATGATTACATAATGCATAGTTCTATACATTATGTAATCATTGTTACAAAATACAATTAAAATACTTTATAAAATTTAAAAGTATATTAAATTATCTAAATAATTTTATACTTTTCCAGTGTATTGTAATTTAAATATTATATATCGTCGGCAAAACTGTGATACGACGTAAATGCAAACATTTCCAAAAGTGCTTTACCAATTTTCTGTTTATAGGAAATTTCAAACAGCCCATCTTTTAAATTTATGGAAGGGTAAAAACTAATAAGTAATTACATGCCGTGACTTCAATAACGCTTTAAAAAAGATTTAAGTACGGTATTAATACGGTTGTGGTACCGTCTCAGAGCTTTCAATACCTTTATATTGTAAAAAAAACTACAAAAGCTTTTCGTACATTTTGGAATACAATTTTTACAATATCAATACAACTTTGACATTTATTTGAAAATTTCAATTTAAAGTTCTGTGCAAATGTTCATTTTTATAAAACGTTACTACATCATTAAAAACATAGAATTTTTATGCTGCATTTTAGGAAAAAAACTTGATAACGAGAACTTTATTGCTGAAAATATATGCAAGTTTATTTTATCGGTTGTTTCTGGCAACATTTATATGACCAGGTATAAGAAAAGCGCGCTCGATTTTTTCGATATCCGATTTACTTTTATTTTACGTCTCCACTACGTATAAAACGCATTCAGGAAAAGTCAGAGCAATACAATGTCAGAGCTTTTACTAAAATTTTTGGAATTTGATACTTTGTAAAATTTACGTCGTAAGCGCATTATTGAAGCCACGCATGTTCTTTAAATAATTTTCATATTTTCATAAATTTAAAAGATATAGTATTTGAGATTTCCTAAAAAGAAAATAACTAAAATATTTTTGGAAATATTTGCACTTACGTGATATTACAGTTTTGCCAACGATATATAATTTTGTGTGTATGTATTAGTAAATAAACATCAAGTATCATATAATACATGCGTATATTATATTTTCTTTCACTATTTTAATTATTTTAAAAAATAATTTTAATAACATAAATATTATGTACATAAATTTACATACATATATTGTATACATAATAAATATTATATAAAAATTTAATTAAAAAATAAAAAACAAAAACAATATTTTATTTAAATAAAAAAAAAATTAATTTATAATTATTTTTTTTTTTGTAATTTATTTTTAATTAAGAAACAAATTGTTTAATTATAAAAATTATTATATAAATACAAAAACAAAAAAAAAATCAAATTATATAAAGCGCACTAAAAAAGAAAATTAAAAATATAATTTAATATTATAAAAATTAATTAACTCAATTAATCAATTAATTAAAATTAATTAATTAGAAAAAAAAATAAAAGACTTAAATTAAATAGTCTAAAATAATAAAATTATTATAGAATTTAGAGAAATTTTTAAATTTAATAATTAATATTGATTGTACAAATTATATAAAATTAAAGAAAATCAAACAAAAAAAAAACATATTTAAATTAACAAAAACGAAAAAAAAAATAATATTCTATAAAATTTTAATAAATCAAAATTGTAAAAAAGAAAAAATAAATACAAACAAAAAATTATATGTAAGAAAATTATTTAGTAATTTAATTCATCAAAAAACAAAAAGATATACCGCAAATTCTTTAACGTCAAAATTTTGATTTTAGTCTGCAAACTGTCTGAAACTAAAACTTTTACGGACAGAAATCTAGTAAACTTTTTACCCGTAATTGACTTTGAATTTTGATCATCCGTAAACGTCAAAACAAAAAAAAAATTTTTTTTAGATTTAAAATAATTTTATACTTACATATTAAAAATTAACAATAAAAATATTTTTTATATTATTTTTAACGTAATGATAGTCACTCAACACATCAAATTTATTTACTGAATTACTACGTCAGACTGTCTGCATGTAAGAAAAAAAATCTACAATTTTGACGATTAATTGACTTTTTTTAAACGTTTAAGAATTTAAACTTTGACTGAGAGTAAAAACGTAGTAGAATATCCGTAAACTCAGACAACTCAGATTTTGTAAAATTTGACGTTTAAGAATTTACCAATATTTATAAAACAAAATTAAACCTGTGGAATTTTATTTAATAAAAAATATTTTTTGAAATTTAAAAATAAATGCACATACTATAATTTCTGTGCCTACAAGCCAAAACTTCTTATGTCGCTTTAAATCTAAATCGTGTTGAATATTAGCGTGAGAAGATGGTAACATCAATATTTACCATCTTCTCGCACTAATATTTTCGGAATTGTTTATAACAAAAATAAAAATCGCCTTAATTTATTTTCTCTGAGAGTAATTCATTTAAAATTTTAATCTTTTCGATTTTACATACATATAACTGTTATAAAAAAGAAAATTTTTGGAAAATTGTTTACTATTGCAATTCAATATAAAACTAGTAAAATAGATTTTCTATCTTCAAATGTGATGAGCTACATTTTAAATTAAAAAAAAAATTATTTTCCAATTTGCAAATAATTTAAATTTAGTAGTTAAGACGTTTTCGGCTTATAGGTACAAAACTTATTTATAAAAACGCAAAAGCGCAGAATTAAATAAATAATTTTTATTTCTCATAAAAAATATTTTTGTATTACAAAAATAACTCTTTAAATAAGAAAAGAAAAAAAAAATTAAATATTATAAATAGTTTTTTATGTTTTGTTTTATTTTCATTATTTAATTTAAATACTCATAATATTATATTTAATTAATTAATTTAACTAATTAAATAATAATTATGAATGAAATATTTTAATTATTTTATATTATTTTATTTTTGTATAATTATATATATAACATAATTAATTATAATCAGCTACCAGTGATGATTTAATAAAAAAAAATTAAAAATGAAAAAAAAATGTACATTTTAAAATAAAAATTCGTGTAATTATATTAAAAAAAAATTAAAAAATAATAATTAAATTTTATTGAAAAAAAAAACAATTTGCAAATGTACAGAAAAAAATATATAAATATAATGAAATATATATATTCACATACATGTATACATAATATATGTAGATATAAAACATTTATATAATATATAATTATAATAAATAAGTATGCACCTTAAAATATATTGAAAGAATTAGCAAAATAAAATTTTAAAATTAAAATCTTAAAAATTGTTTTTGTTACAGCAACCATTTTAAATTTTATAAACCAAACCTAGCAAAAAAAGCCCACTCTAGAGCAATTTTAAATTAAATACAAGTCTGTATTTGTACTCACTTGTTTACTGTATTATAAAAACTTAAAAATATCAGACAATAATCGTTTATAATGGAATTTCTTATATAAGTTTTACCTGACCAACAACATTCATAATTCTTTCTGTTTGCTTGTATGTTAGCCTACCCGTAAATTTATATTATAATAATTCATAATAGCTATTTGGAAGTAAATAAAATTTACTGTTGCAAAGGAAACTATTGTTACCTAACAGAAACTTCATAATCACTTTTAACTTTGGCCGATGTGTTTGATATCAAGGGTATTGTTTCTTGAATGAAATATAAATTTTGTATTAGTTGTCTTAAAAGATATCAATCGAACTTGAATTCTTCGAACCTAAAAGCTATGAAAATAAAAAGGAAATAAGCCATTATGTCAAGTATGTGTACTCTACCTTACTCAATGACTACATATTATTGTACTTTATAAAACCCCTATTATATCTACTTCAACTATATATTTTCTTTAATTTTTTTGCTACCAATTTTCTCCCAAATTTATGCAATAATAAAATTGTTTCATTAAAAATAAAACATACCCAATGTATGTATTCCGTTTTTCGAAAATCCTCATTTCCTAAATTGCTAAATGTTTTTTCGTAATAAGGACCAAAAAAACAAATCAATTAATCATTGTTAAACTTAAATATTTTTTCTAGTATTTGAGTAGATAATTTATTACAGAATTATTAAAAAAAAATTGAATAACGCATAAGCATCGAATTGGAGTTAATTGAAAACAATTTTAAAGTAAAATTTGATCAATTTAACATATATATTAAAACAGGAACATATATGTATAGTCCAAGCTCTGGAAAACTTTTTTTTTAATTTGATGCTAAACTTACAGCCGGTTCGAAGTTTTTAAACTGCATAAATTGTCAAGCAGTTTGTTTGCCAGTTCATGAAGTTTTCAATTGTGAAACAGTCTACAAACTTAGTAATAAATTATAACTACAGTAGGCTCTGCCTGGCGTAAGAAAGTTGTTTAAAACTTTATTAAACTTGAAAAAAAAACTTTTATAAATTTTAAATAATCTTTTGTAAAATAATCTTTTCCTCGACAATTCTTGCAGCATATAATAATCGCAAGAACTCTAAATTTGGTAACATGTTAAAACTGAATTAAATATTAGAACTGAAAAAAAAACATAATGATTCAGCAATCAAAAGTAGAATAAGAAACTAATTGCACTTTTGCTTCTTGAGCCTAATGAATTCGGACGCCCTTTAAATTTTAAATATGCATAATAAAACACAGGAACTTATTTTATAGAAAATAAAATTATTTTATAGAAAAACATTGAAAGGTAAAACAAACTTTTTTATTTTTATTGAAAATATTCAAGTTTTCTTTTTTTATACGTTTTTTTTTTTATTTTTTCCTCTTTTATGTATAAATTAACTATTAAAGTAATCAATCATTTATTTTTTTGCACAAATATCTCATTTTTTCACAATATATTTGAAATATAAGTAAATAAAAAAAAAATATATTTCATTTTTTTTAAATTAAATTAAAGTCTCTCGTGTCTTTGTAAAATACAAAGATTTTAAATAAAAATGTTTTTAAAGGATTTTTTTAATTTTTTGTTTTTTTTTACTTAAATGTTAACATTTATTAATTTTTTTTTGTTTTTTTTTTCTTTTTATTTTTGTTCTTCCTATTTTTAATTAGTATTAAAAAAAACCCGCAATTTGAGGTCTTAATGATTTAAAAAAGACATATGTAATTATTTTTTTTAATTGATATTTCTTTCCAAAAGCAAAATTTTAGTTTTTTTTAAGATTGTTTTTAAATCAATATTTTGATGATTTTTCATTACATGAAAAAATAAATTACAAAAAAAACTAATTCGTTTTCAAATGCATAAATTTACAGTGAAGTTCTCGATAGGAAATTTTCTTAAATATTGTTTTTACTATTTTATATATAAAAAAGTTTTTATAAAACAATGTTAGTGGGTGGAAGTCGTTTTTATTTTTTGTATCTAAAACAAATTCAATTTAAAATTAAAAACAAACCTCATGTTTTTTTTTCCAGTAAATTTTTAGAGTTTTCATTTTCGACATCAAAATTTATAATAGAACTAAACAAAGAAAACGATCTTATCATGTAAATTACATATACTATTACGTCTAAATTGTTTTTATTTAATCTTCTTCAATCTAACTTAAAACAATAACGTACTCATACCACCCAATTCAGATTGCTCTTTAACAAAAATCTCAAAGTATTGATAAATAATTGTAACAGCTAATAAAATACCAGTACCAGAGCCAATTGCACCCATAAAATCAGCTAAAACTGATAATGCACCGATACAAAGACCACCAAATGCAGCTGCTGTCGGAATATATCTGTTAAGTTCATGAATCATTGAATTTTCACGATGTCCTCTCATAACCATATGTTGTTCTTTTAATTGTTTAGCAACCTAAAAATTATAAGAAAATATTTTCTTTCAGAAAATTGAACGTAAATGAAAACTTTTTAGTTCTTACATCTTTAGCTGAGCTTCCAGATACATCAATCCATGTTTTCGAGAAGAATGCACATGAACCTAACATAAAGACAATATACAAAAGAGCATGAATTGGATCTTGTAATATATGCCCAACACTCTCAGGTGGAGATAGGTAATAACATAAGCCACCAATAGGATATGAACGGGCCGGACCACCTCCTCCAACATCAGCCCATACACCCAATAAATTGATTAAAACATTTCCGTGAAATTTAACAGCTAACATTTGTGATATAACATATAAATTTGATACTAAAGCTGATTGTAAAATAATTGGAATATTTGATGTATAGAATAATTTAATTGGGTAGCTGCTGTATTGCCCACGGTAACGAGCTGATTTAATTGGCAAATCAACACGGAAACCTTGGAAGTATATAACAACAGCAAAAACTAAAACTGTAGCCAATAAATTCATCAAATTTGGCAAATTTTGTCTATAAAAAGCCTCTCTTAATGCACGAACTTTATCATTACGTGTTGCCATTAAATGGAATAATGCAATTACAGCGCCTTCAAATTCTGTACCACGACCTGTATTTACTGTAGCTGGTGAAAATGCTTTCCATACGATTGTTTCGCAAATATTTGTAGCAATGAATAATGAAATTCCAGATCCTAAACCATAACCTTTCTGTAATAATTCATCCAAAAGTAAAACAATTAAACCGGCAGCAAATAATTGAATAATGATCAATAAGCAAACACCAGCTCCAATTTCTGCTGGATCACCATACATTCCAGTCATAACATATACGATTGCTTGTCCAATTGTGATTACCATACCGAAAAGTTTTTGTGCACCATTAAATAATGCGCGATCTTTCGGTGTATCACCAACTTCAATAATTTTTGCACCAGCCAACAGTTGCATTATTAAACCTGAAGTTACTATTGGAGAAATACCTAATTCCATAAGTGTACCACGATTAGACGCTAAAATAACACGAATCCAATAGAATGGATCAGCTGAGTCTGAGCTCATAATACCAAAAAGTGGAATTTGGCAACATACAAGGAAAATGAAAAGTGTTATTGCAGTCCATAGCACTTTTTCCCGAAATTGAATCTGAAATATAGCATACAAAAAAGTCATAAGTTTAAATATTTCTAATGATAAATTTAACGAAAAAAAAAACACTTAAAAAACCAGATAGTGAATAGCTAAAGCTACCTACCTATTCATACTTTAATACATATTTGAAAAAGTAAAATTTCGGACACACGATAGATACCTATCAAGTGTTATGTTCTGTACTGATAAGTTACTTTTGCAAGAGTATCAAAAGCTTTTATTGTAATCGACAATCTAAAATTACTTTTTGTTTTAATTTTTAACATGTGGCGATTTTTTCTGTCCAGATCATATTAAAGTAAAAACAAAACAAATATTTACATAATCATGTTAACAGCGTACAGGTAAAAGAGAATCGAACAACGCATATGTAAGACCTAGGTTTTTTTTCAAAAAATTTAATAAAATAATGCTGTTGAATATATTTTAAAAAAATTCGGACATTTACTTGTGCTTTAATAATTTATTTCTTATTGTGTCATTTATGAATTCAATTGTTTTCTTCACACAAAATTTTGGCAATTTTTAAACTAGGTTAAACTTTCACTTTACTTTCAAATTATTACAAGTACCCACCACATTTTTATTGCCTGTTAAATAACAACAACCAATTTCAATTGTTTTTTGTTTAAAATTATCTTAAAAATAAGTGAATTTATGAAAAAAAATTATGTAGGTTTTAAGATCACTTGTTCGTTTTTATTTAAAAAATATTAAAGCTTAGCTTTAACTCAACCTTTTTTAGAAGGTTAAAACACGGCAATACTAAAATTGATGATGTGTAGTAGTATCATCATATCACAACAAGACTTAATTCTACTGTACCTGAACGTAAAAACAAAAGAAGTTTAGTTGTTACCTTTGTAGGAATACTCAAAATATTCTCTTATTGGAATTAAAATAAATTTTTAAGATTGACATTTTTAAATATTCTTGTATTTTATATAGTTTTTTTTAAAGAAATCTTTAAAAAACCAAACTTAAATTTACGCAACAAAGCTTACTTAATATATAACTCTAAATTTTTAGTATTGTTTCTAAAAAATAAATTTAAACCATTATAGGGATCTCAGGTTTAAATAAATTCAACAAATTGTCATATTTTAAAAAAAAAAAAGCAAAGTTAATTAGTTTAATTACCAAATGTCTAACACCAAAATTATATTATTTGACTTAAATATACACATACTTATCAATATCTCACATTTATACCCTTTTCAACTCACCTTTCTTTCAGGTTTAGCAATTTCAGGTAATATGCTGCAAAATGGTTTTATTACTTCAAGGAATTTAACTGAAATGATAAATTAAAAAGTTCACATTTAAATTACGGCACCAAATATTTTAAATCTAATTAAAATTTTTTAAATATCTTTTTAAATACTGTAAATAATTTAATGAGTTATTTCATTTAAAATATGCCTCAATCCTTAATTTGTATACGTAAGCAATTAAAAAAAAAAACGGATCCGGTGATTGATTTTTCCACCGAAATTAGAATATAATTTCTTATAAACCATATCACTAAATATGTAAAATTTGTTGTAACTTACTTCCCATTTTTGATTATTTACTTATATACTAAATTTATTAAAAAATTAAACAAATTTTTTATAAATTATAATTTTATTCACTACACTGCGAACAATCCACAATGATCACGCACGAAATATCAAATATGAAGAAATTGACATTCAAAATTTCTTTTTCGCTTTACCTTTTTTCCTTTTCTAATTGTTTAAAAACTTTGAAGGGGGGATAAAGATAAAACATATTAAAAATTTGACAGCATTCATATAATGTATTAGAGTAAAAGAAATAGATGAATCCACGTCTAGCCAAATATACTTAAAAATGACAACATGGTTATGTGTTGGAACCCTGTAATCATTTTTTGTTGGAAATAAATCGACAAACTAATAGAAATTTTTGAAGTTTAAAAATTTACCCAATCAACATAAAGAATTTCTGAATTATAACTGGAATGTAAATGGAACTTGTAAATTGAATAATTTCTTCTTGGAATTACATATTAGCAAACATTCTCCCATTAAATTTTTTTTTTTAAATTTGATTTATTAAAACGAAATTTGTTCAAACTTCTTTTCCTATGATTTATAGCCTTACAAACATATGGACTATAAGCAAAATGCAAATAAATTTACTGAATTAACTTAACTTTCTTTTAAATACCGAGTACTTTACCAAAGGAAAATAAATAAAAATATTTTTCATTTGCATTTAAAACTCAATATGACATTATAGCTATTTGCATGGCTATTTGAAAGTTATGACTTCATATTGTAAATACAACTCCCTTATAAGAAAACGAGATACATATGCCCGTTTATACCACCTACCTTTTTTGCATAACCCGGTGTTGTGCAATCGTCCATTTTCTATTTTGCATAATTTTATGCTAATTTTGAACTAGGTATGACAATGGATAGTTATCAAAAAATTTTAAATTAAGCGACAATTGCATTTAGAGATTTTACAAACTCCACATAAATGTCAGCATGAAGATACAGAATTTCTTGTTTTTATGTAAAACGTACGTATATGTGTGCATGAAGTGAGTATACACTAAGGCCTAAGCAATTAAGTCTGTATTTATTTCCTACAAAAAAGGGAACGCCTATGAAAGAAATCCGTTCAAATCTGTTTTCAGTTAAATTTAAAAATAACAAATAGAGATAAAATGACAGAATATTTTATCTTAAGATTTGACTTGTATCTGTATAAATATTTTATTCGATTTTCAGCGAAACCAATTCATAATTTTACTTAATAATTTTGACTTAATAATTGCACATATAATTTTGTAAACGCTTTACGAAAAACCATTTTTATTATGTAAACCTATGTCAAATAATTATTTGATAACAGTTTGACATTACATGTAAACATGAGCATAATTTCTCTTTTATATTTTTGTTATTTTTAATTTTTATTGTGACAGGTTTAGTAAATAAGTACAATTTTTTATTTTTTGCAAATCGATTTATTACAGAAAGATTTATTAAAAATTATTCAAAACTAAGGTTTCAGAAAAATTGAAATATAGAAAATATAAAAATAATTGTTTTATTTTCAAAATTTACTGATATTCACAAAAGTAACTTCGAAAATTCACATTAGTAAAAGTAACTTTCTAACCGTTTCTCTACTTCTCGCTTATAGAAATGGAAAAAATTCAATTTATAATATTATTTAGTGGAAAAAGAAAAACTGGAAAGGATTATATTTCAGAAAATTTACATAAAAAGTTTAAGAATTCAAATCAGATTTTTATTGTAAGTTAACTCATATGTATTTTTAGACTTGGGTCGATAGAAAGCCAAATAATACGAATCTCAGAACCGATTAAATCTGCATGGGCTGAAAAATTAAATTTGAATTTAAAAGAATTATTAAGTGATGGACCTTATAAAGAAATTTATCGCAAAGACATGATCAAATGGAGTGATGAAATCAGATCAAAAGATTATGGCTTCTTTTGCAGAGAAGCTATCAGCAAAGGTAACTTATTTATATTTTTAAAATAAAAAAAAATTGGTTTTTTATTCTAATTTTATGAATTATTTCAGCAAATAGGGAAATAATAATTGTTAGTGATATTAGAAGAAAAACAGATATAAAATTTTTTCAAGAGACATTTCCAAATAAAACAAAAACAATTAGAATCTCATGTTCGAATAATGAACGTGTAAATAGAGGATGGATATTTGAAGATGGTGTTGATAATGTGCAATCAGAATGTGATTTAGATGATTATACTAATTGGGATTTAGAAATATTGAATGAAAACCAAGATATTAATGAAATCATTGACATTATCCTAAAGTCATTTAATATAATTTGATTAAGATTAAAAATTAATTATTGTACAAAATCAATTGCCTAATATTCAATCATACATACATATTTTGTATTTTTCTAAAAAGTTATATTCGAATCATATTTACCTATGTAAAGTTAAGTAATATTTATAGAAATCAAATATTTTAGAATATTAAATGCTATATTTTATAACATTAGTTCAATAATGAATATTTTTACACAAAAAAAAATATATATATATATATATGTATATAATGAATCTGATATTTTTATACATACATATGTTAATTTTAAGCTTATTATCAAGAGAACAAAACGAAATATAAAAATTATTTAAAAATGTTAAAGCTTAATTTATTGTTATGTATAAATACCTAAGCAATTTTTATTTTTTTGCATAAATATTATACCCTTTTTACATTTTTAAGTTAAGCGAATATCCAATGCAAATGTTATGAAACAGACACATATGTACATACGTATTTTTAAATTATGCGCGCGATATTTTTTTGTATTATATCTTCTTTATATAAAGTGTTGTTAGATTGATCTAATTGTTATAGCCATTAAAATGTTATATGAAATCTTTACTTCAAATTTCACACATACCCAATCACCTTTGATAAGTGTAAATAAAGAAAGAAGTTTCTTTATTTGGAAAAATTATTCTTATTCTGAAAAATTGTTTATTTTGTTTTATAGAATTTTTTTAACAGTTATGCAAATCTAATTGTAATATGATATGTATAAATATGTATAAATTTAATTTTTATTCTGTGTTTTCTAATTAAGCACTTAAATTAGTTTTTGTTTTCAAATAAGTTTTTTTTTAATAAAATTTGAGTTTTTGCACAAAAGGTAAAAGTGTTAATAGCATAAAATGGCTAACAGTGTTAAAATTGCTGATACCAACTGATGTACTTAGCATATTCGTGTTTCATTATTATATCAGTTTTTTTAATAGAAACATTCTAAGAAACCAGTTAGCATGCTTGTGTTTGACAAAATTATAAACGAATTTGAAATAATACTGTGAAATAATTCCAACTGATAATTATTTAATGTGTTTAATTAATATATAATTAATATATAATTAATTAATATATAATTTATATATTATTATATAACATTATTATTATGAACATTCTAAGAAAGCACTTCTTTTCTACCTCGACGTAGCAATTAACCTATTTCAATAACACCTATTACATAAACTACAACACGTAAAGCGCTGAAATCTATACCACAAAAAGAAGACCGTTTGAAATTAATATTGGTGTAAAAAACTTAATTTTGAAAAATTTGTTACTTAGCATATCATTCCACTGCAAAGACATCATTATTTACTAATTATAAAGTAAATTTTTTGTTAATCTAAAATTCTGCTTCAACGAAGGAGCCGCTTTTTTAAATTCAATTTAAAAAAAAGTTAACCATTGCAGTCATGTAATTAAATTCATTACCATTACTAATTTCATTTAAATAGAAGTTATATGATTAATAAAAACACATAAAAATTTATCAGTAACCTAATGTAAATTTTATTTCTTTTAAATTATTTTTTAATTATTATACAATAATATATAACATTTTTTTTTTATTTTTTTTTTTTTAATATTTTTTTTATTAATTTTTTTTTTGTTTTAAATTTACGACAATTAATTTACGATAATAAATTTTTAACCTAACATTGGATAAAAATATTTTTAACTTCTTTTATTTTATTTTTTTTTCCTCCAAAATAGGTTTGATCAAAATTTTTTATTTTAATGCAAAAAAAAAAAAGAAAAATACAATTAATTTCTGGAAATATTTTAGAAATTTTTCAATTTTTGAAACACCTAAATATATCAGTTTTTTTTTCTTTTAATTTTAATTTTACAAAACAAAAATAGAAAGGAAGAAAAAAACAATATTTTTTTTAACAAATTTAAATTTACGTTGTCTTTATGGAACACATATTTTTTGTATTTGCATTATTAATTTAATTTTTCACTTCTAAATATTTTCAAAAAATTCTCAAACACTTACAGTTCTAAAGTTACAATTTTTTTTTATACAATTTATTTTTAAGGTCCAGCCATCTTTTTCAGAAAATATAAATTTCTTATTTAGTATATTTTGCTTTTTTGTAGAAAAAACTTATTCCTTTTTTTATTTTTCCAAATTTCAAAAGTATAATATTGTTGAGTTGTTTAATTAAAAAGAAAAATGTAACTGTATTGCAAAATCTTGAGTTAATTTTTTAAAATATATTTTTTTGTATTTAATTACAAACTGTAATAACTTGTTGAGAAAAAAAAAAAACAATAAAATTTTATATTTGCACAATTACATTATTACAATGCAACTGTATGAATAACTGAAATTAATTTAAATTTTAACTTTAGTCCTTAAATAACATCCATGAATGTCACTTCATACTAATAATTTTTTTTTAATTGTAAAGGCTCAACATTTCATTTTTGTATTTTAAATTGTTAAGTTAGTTATTTTATTAATATTATTTAGTAAAGTTAATTTTTTAATCAAATACACACTATAATTTTTATTTAAAATTGCATTTGGTGATCACTATGACAAGGATATTAATTATTACATTCATATTGTTCGTTTTATAATTTATTTTTGTAATTATTATCAATTTTTCCTTGTTCAAATAATATTAAATGTACACATGCATGACAAAGAATACATAATTTCATTAAAATTATTATATTACTTAATATTTATTTTCAATAAATCTAATTTACTAAGACGCCTGACAAGATTTGATAGGATATTATTTTAATAGATTGCAGTTTCCAGAATCAAATCCAAATGTTGAAATTTGTCGTTTTATACTGAAATCACAATATAATTGAAGAATATCCTACCAGATAATGTGAGGAGTCGAAGAAAATATGATATATATAAAATGGTAAGTTTTTTAATTCAAATTCAATAAGAAAATTAGAATATGTGTTTACATATTTTTGAACTATGATGCATGGTACACTCATGAAAAATTTTTATCAAAATAAAATTAAAATTAGAATGTTAGTAGATTAGAAAAATAAAATTTCAATTATTTGAAAATAATTTTTTGCTTTTGTAAAACTCAACAATAAATCATAAAAAAATAAAAAAAAATTTCCAAAACCAATTGTATAAATTAAGAAAATTGTATTATTCAAATCACTTAAAACGAAATAAAAATTTACAATTATTTATATTTTATTCAATTTATTTCAGAAAATAAAATTATTTTTTAAATACAGTATTCATATTTGGAAACTATGTACACATTTATGTCCACTTATTTTCCTCAATCTTCATTTTCTCCCTTCAAAATTAATATATAAGATGTAAAAAAATGTTGCTCTTAGTTATTCATTAAAGAATAATGTGAAAGAGAAAATAATAGAATATTTTCTAAGTTCAAAGAAGAAGACACTGTACAGAGACCCATATATATCAATTTAATTAAACTGATTTAATTGAAATAAATTGAGTAAAATACAAACGCGGTACAAAATTGAAGATGCGCATAATATACTGATATGATTTATATATATTATACAATTATATTATAATATTATAACTTCACAGTCATCTAATTTTTTTTCTTTTTAAATATAAGTATACTAATATACATACACACAAAAAAAAAGAAATAATAATTATTTTTTATTTCAAAATTCAAAATTACTACTATTTTTCCCTTCTAATGTATTACATTCTTCTAAATTTTCTATGCTAAAACTTTTCATTATCTTAAAAAGTTATTTATTTATTAATTAATTATCTTTACAAAATTGATTTAATTAAAAATAAAATTTTTATTTTATTTATACAATTCAAGAAATTTTAATTTTGTTTAAAGAATTGTATTCATTAATTAATAATATATAAATTAGCAAAAAAAAAACAAAAAAGAAAATTAAAAAAGTAGGAAAGAATGCAAATTATCATGAATTCTCAAATTTAATGTATTAATATTAATTTTAAATACAATCTAAAATATAAAATTATATAATATTTTAAGAATATTATACGAAAATTTATTTGAATAATTCCAATGAAAATATTTAATATATGCATAAAGTATTTAATTTATGACAACTCAGGTCTAAAAAAATAAAAAAAATTTCAAAATAATAAGTAAAAGCGTCATTAGCATTTTTATAAAATTAATATTTTTTTGAATTAATGAATAAGATTTCGTTTATAATTTTCATTCTATAATATTTCATTAAAAAGTTTTGTAATAATTATAAAATTCAAGAAGATAATTCAATTATCTTGGAAAAATAAAATATTTAAACAATTATCAAAAAAAAAAAGATCGCATATTTTATAAAATTTTTTTTGAAATTTTTTCCTTCAAATTAATTAAAAACGGCTGATCTTTTATCTCGATTTTTCCCTCTGCTAATTGTACGTGCTTTAAACGCAGCGGCATTCACCAAATGCTAAAAAGAATAACATATATTTTAAATATGAAAAATAGTTTGAAAAGTGAAATAAAATAACCATTTATTAAAAAATAATCATTTATGAATTTATTGAATATGACAAATAATAATTATGAATTTAATTATATATTTGTTATTAAAATGAAAACTAAAAATAACTTACTCTTTCCAATTTCGTTTGTTTATGAGCTTTAACGTGTGGATCTGGGACAACTTTTGGGCCCAAACTTAAAACTTCTCTAACAAATTCATTTTCTTGTAAATGACATGTCATTCCGGGACCAGTTATTGCACATATTGCTGTATATTGATGATGTATTGCCCATGTGTCCAAAACTAATGATTCAGTACCAAAACGTATTGTTATTTCTGGTGAAATATCCTCCTAAAAATTAAAGTAAAATAAAATTTGATTTTTAAAATAAAAATTTTAATGAAATAATCTTACTTCCAAATATCTTAAAAGGTCTCTGAATGTTGCTCTTTGTGTTTTACGGTCTTTTTTAGCACGATACTTATGTGAATCAGTTGCTAACTGTTTGGCAATATCAATCAAATCATCTAAATCACTTTCCAAAAAATCTTCATTATGATTACGACCACTTTCCAATATTAAAGCAATTGTTTCACCAGCAGCCATACGTACATCTAAATGTGGTGATTGTAATAAACCAGATAGTTTCTTTACTGATCTAAAATTAAAAATGGAAATAATTAACAACGAATATTTTCAATATAATCGTAGTTTTAATAAACGCTAGAATCATTTTTAATTATTTTCAAATTACTTACGGAAGCATTTGTTGTCCACTATTCATTAAATTGACAAAATCACCGGATGGTATCAATGTAAGTAATAAACCCCATGCAGTTAATGCTTCAGCATGTAAAACTCCAGCATCAGAATTAACAGAAACTGGTGATTTTTCATCACGTAAATAACTGCCACTGAATATTTGTTCAAAGAATTGCATCAAATTTAAAAGATCCCCAATATCATAACCAGCCAAAAAATTTAATAAACCAAGTGCAGTACAGCATTTTGCTCTAGCATCAAATGTTACAGATTTATCTAACATTGTTGTTAATAAAAATTGATTCAATGATTTGGTAATACTTTCTTCTCCACCCAATTGTAAAACAAGTAATGGTGCTAAACGTGCTGCCCAAACTTGTTCTAATCCTTTACCACGACGTATAGATTTTTCAATGACATCAAGTAAAGTTATTTTACGATCTTCAACAAAATCTGGCATATAACGATGCATTAATATTTCACATAATGCTTGTAATGCTAATGCTCTTGTCTGTGCTGATTTTTCTGTTGCATTCTCCAAATTTTGTATAAATTTCTCTTCATATTTTTCATTTTGAACAACTTCATCTGATTCTTCAGTTGATGTAGCATTCTCTGATTGATATGAGTATACACTCATATTATCAATGATTGATTCATCTTCAGAATTTGAGTCGCCGCCACGACCTAGAAAAAATTTAAAAAAAAAAAAAATAATTCAATTAATTTTGTTATTACATTTTCAATATTTTTTTGTAAAATCTACGTACTATTTTATTTAGTTTTATAGAAATCAGCTATCAGATATATGTATATATGTACATACATATGTATGTATCTTGATTTCAAATATGTATGTGTCAATGTAAATGTATGTATGTTTATTTGTATTATGAAATAAATTCTAAGAAATTCAATTTTAAAATCTTCAATATCTTTTAAGTATTATGACTCATAAAAGTTACAATTACTGGCTAAAAACCCACTTTATTTACACTTTAATTCATCAAAAATATTGTAATTGATTAATTTTGTAAACATTTAAACAATATTGTTGAATTTGTGTTTGTGAATTTTCTGTTGCTTTAACATCTTCATGATAATAATATTTTCTGTAATGCGTGATGAGATGTAAAAGAGAAATTGTAAAATATGAATTAAGGGATTTCCGAAAAATTTACATTCAAATAAGTTTGTTTTACTAAAACCTTAAATTATCTAATTAAAATTGGGATATTCCCAAAATATTTTTATTAATAGTTTATTAAAACTTTCAGTTAAATAACTATACCATCGATTACTGAGATCCATAGATCTAAGCATAATTTATTTTGAGTTTATTTTTAATTTACACTGAATTTTTTTACGTTATACACTTAGAAAAAACTATAAATATTTTTAATATATGTGTGAGTATTTTGTATGTGACTGTGAATTACATTTCTAAATTAAACACTCCATATGTTTTTTCAACAATAATCAGCTGCTAGCGTTTGCCTACAATATGACATAAATGTGAAAAGACAAAGCTTTATCTTGTTTATTATTTTTTATTTTAAATTTTTTTGCTTTTGAAAAAATAAATAAAAAGTTTGAATAAAACATTTGACGCACGTAGATATTGGTTTTATATTTAATTATGTGGATAAGGTTTTATAAAGAAATGAACTTTTTCAAATTTTAATAAAAACTTTTAGTTTAAATCATTTATCTTTAAAACCATTAATTTTTGTTTTACACCTAGAACAAATAGTAAACATTTAAGAAGAGTTCGTCATACATGTCAAAGAATGTCAATGAGATACTTAATTTCATTTACGTTTTTTACCATATTTTTATAAGTTCACATTAAAAATTAGAAAAGAAATTTACCTAAATCCTAAAGATAATCATAAGATTTTCATAAAAATTATAAATTTTCATAAGTTTATTCTATTTGGAAAAAACGACTTTAAATAAGAATCAGAAAAATGACAGCCAAATATTAAAAATCAGGGAAAATATATGCAAATGTAAATGTTAACAAATTTCTATAAATTTTGACAAAAGTTTTGCAAGAATTTGAGTGAGAGAGCCTCGTATTTTTCACTTGCTTTCGTATTCGAGCGTCTTTTTTCAAAAATTTTTATAAATTAAAAAAATTCTCCGTAAACAGATCTAAAAAGCGATTGTTGCCATTTTATTTTATTGAGAACCGATTTTAGGATTTTCAATTTCGTCAACATTTTAATTATTTGAGTCAAAGTATTTGCTTAAACTGTAACTTTACTGTTACTATTTTATTATTTTTATAACTTAGAAGATTTCATATAAAAATAATAATTACTTTGTAAATTAAACTCATATTTATTTAACCTTATATTTTAATTTTCAAATAAAAATCTAATAAAATTACATTTTATTTGATTACAGTTAACGAGCGTCACATGCTCACATACATACATACATAATATGTATACTTCTTTTGTGTATTCAGCTTTATTTTTTTTATATTTACGTAATTTTTTTTTTTATACGTAATAATTTTATTTATAATTTTCATATTATCTATGCCACGTTCAATAGGTTGATATTTTAATATCACTCACTGCTTATGCATAGTTCATATACACGAGTATGTCCATATATGTATGTACTGTGTTGATTATATTAAAATCATAATAATCAAATGTACACTTGTAGAATATATGAGAAATAATTAATGTGGTTTTTATTGTTATCAAATCGTTTAAATAAAATTCAATTTTTATCACAAAAAAAAAATCACTTAATATATTATATTGGATGGAATAAAAAAAATTAGGAATAAATAAAAGAATAATGTAAACTTTTATTAAATTAAATTCAAATAAATCAATCTAATTACTTAAATAAAATGATATAAATGTAGTTCAAAAATTTATATTATAATTAGTTGTAATAAAGATAACAAGTATAGAGGATCATATTGAACTCAAAACCAGAAGAATTCTTTGGAACTTTAACAATTAAATACAAGAGATTTTTAATTTAATTCTTAACTGCGTTTGTAATTAAAAATTTAACAAGATTTTAATTTTTATAAATATTTACTAATCGTTCAATTAATATTTGTTATAAATTAAAAATGAAATTTTCTATAAGTAAATTACAGAAGTTGGCCCAAGTTATGTTATCAAAAACAGGAAGTGTAATTCGAAATTGATTTTGAAAAAATTTCAGATATAAAAATTTTCAAAATGAGTGAAAATGACGATTTTTAAAAATCACTACTTTTTGTGAGTTCGTTCTCATATTTGTTTTTAAGTAACAGATAAATGCTGTCCTTTCTGGCATATTTTATACAAACACTTAAACTTGTATACTTTTCATTTTAATAAAAAAACTTTGATTTTTAACTGTAGCTGACTCTGTTCTCAAAAGTAATGGTGCATAATTCATATTTCATTATTAAATTTTAAAAAAAGTTTTATGTCGCCTGGACAAATTACAATTAAAACCTTTTTTACAAAAAAAATTAGGCTAAAAATACTTAAATCAATCTCATATTTCAATATTCTTACGTACAAATTTTACAAATTTATTATTCTATATAAAAACTACTTAAATTTGTCAGGTTCAGGTGATTTATTCGATATTTTTTTAATAGCCACCTTACAACAAAAAGAATATTTTCAATAAAGTTCATAATTAAAAAAAAAAAAACTATGGCGCACACAGTCTTCAAGTAAAAACAAAAAAAATAGAATTTTATGATTTATATACAAACGTACATGCATGTATATAATAAATAAATAGAAGAAAATATTGACCTAGAATTTATATCACCTATATTTCATTATTTTTGTGCACTAGTTATTTCTTTAATAAGAAATTCAATGTAGATTTGACCTAAATAAAGTTTTATTTGCCTTGCACATAAAAATCGTAGTTATTATGCATACCTACTCTCTTTTAATATATGATTTCAGTATACCATTTACAATATGCAAGGATATTTTTCGTATATTACATATTTCAACACGTGCAGGATGTGTACACATAGAATACATACTTTATACATATGTATGGTACATACATACATAATAATATATTTAGGAAAGCGAAACCTATTTGATTTTTTCATATAAAATTTAATAGCTGCCAAATAGGATTAGTGCGACTAGAAAGAAAATATAAAATAAAATATAGTAAAATAAAGGTTCTTGCCACAAAAAAATACATAATTATTTTTAGCCTGAATTATTTTTTATAATTAAAAAAATTTATAATCCTGAAATTTTTTAGTTAGCATTAATGAAAATTATGGGCACCATTAACTAAAACAATATAAGTATAAAATTTATTCAAATAATCTCATTTATAATATCATCAAATATCGAATTGTATATTATTCGAATAATAATAATTTCGTAATAAATAGGTGTCCCGAATAAAAAGAATTAATAAAAATGCTCTTTTATATTTTAAGATACATTATTTGATACAGTAACAATTACAGACTGACTCAATGTAAAAAGTAAAATATTATTTAATCGACAGTTAGACCTGTTTGTGACAATATGATTTGTATTGAGGGTCATATAAAAGTTATGTTAAGAAATTATTGATAATAAACTAACATTCCAAACACACTAAGTAAGAAAAATGCATAAGTGTAACTTAATACACAAAAAAAATACATACATATTAACAAATTTTCGAAATTCAAAATGTCATATTTCTCCCCTTTTAATTTTCCGCACAAGTAATTTCGCATACGCACTAACGCAATAATAATATTATAGTATAACAATATTATAAATAAATTTCTTGAATATAGACCAGAAATACATATTTAATAAATCTAAGTTCAATTTCATTCTTTTTCTAATTTTTACTAATTTTTTCAAAGTTCAATATTATTAAATTGAAAAAAAAAATTTATAAAACAAAATTTCAAATTAAAAAATAATTAAAATTAATATATTTTTATTATAAGGTGTCTGTTTGCCGATCTATTAATATTCTTAATAGAATTTTATAATTTAAATTTTTAAAAAAAGAAAAATTTCTAAAACTAAGCAAGAACAAAAAACATAATTTTTTTTTATAATTTCTCATTCGCATGTTCTTAATTAAATTAAATAATATAATAATAACATAAACAGTAGGTATACCTACATATAACATGTAGTTATATACATATAAATACATAATAAGTTATAAAACATTATTTACATTATATACTTGTTGGTGTGCCTTAAATACAAAATTTTTAGTCTAAATCTAAAAGATTCCACCACTTCAACTTTTGTCGGTCAATCGTTCTTCATTTTTATTTTCTTATTGTTTTTTTTTTTTTTGTATTAATTCAATCACCTCTCAAAAATGAAAACGTGTCAATACAGAATTATAAAATTTTATTTAACACAGTCAATTAATACACTTATTAATTTTTTTGGTTTCACACTCGTTTCAAATAAATTTATTAAAAAAGTATATAATAAAATTGTATATAAATTCTTAATGTATGTATGTGTATTAATTCAACCCCGTTTTGAACTTTTCATATATATGTATATATATTTAATTTAGATTATAATTGTATGTTTGTTTGTACATATGTATATAAAAATTAAAATGCTTTCATCATTTAAATACATCTATGGCTGCTATAAAATATAAGTACATAAAATATAGAATATTTGAATACACATTCAAAAAGT